TATATATATATATATATATAGTCAAACAGAGCTGCCCGTTAAACGTAGGCAGAGAGGGACAAGAGGGAGAAGAGGACAACAAACGAGGGGCTGTGGCAAACTGTTCGCCGGAGTTTCACCGACTCATCAGGAGGCTGAACCCTCGACAGTCTGCAGAATCCCCTAACTGATTACAGTGTAAGTGATAATCCACCTTAACCCCGGCTGTGGTTAAGCATCAACGACTGCCCGACAACTGATACCCCTCTGAGGAGGTGGGGACCACCAACCACTGCCCTCATGGTACCTGTGGCAAAAGTCAAAGCAGACTATCACTCACCCACACCAGATGAATAACTCTACAGACTGTTGGTTCACACCCCATCACAAGCAAGCAAAACACCCACGAAACAAAGAAAGGTCTGTCACAGCCAAAAAATACACTCCAGACACGCCGCTGGCACTAGAGGCACAGCATGGCCGCGTAGTGACGGCCCCGACCACTGCCGCTCGACCTGACCGGATATTACCGTAGCAGGGTGCTAGCGAAGTCGTGGTATATAGATATATATTGTGTCACATATCTATGAACTAAGAGAGCGCACTTTTAGTTCATAGATATGTCGTGGTGACAAACTGTTTCGTCGGAGTTTCACCGACTCGCTAGCTGATCACCTACCCTCTTCCCCCGAATAGAATGCCTGAGCATTATGGCTGTATCTGGACTGAAACTTGCGCAAAATGGTACTGTAATGACTGTACGTTATAAATATCACTCAGAGATGAATGTATAGATTCTCAAGAGTCAAGGCAGTAAGGCAAGGTTTTTTTTTTTTTTTTTTTTTTTTTTTTTTTAACCTGAGCAGTGAGCATTAGAGATGACGACTCTAAATTTAAAAAAAACGACCATTTCTCGATTTATTCCTGTCATCCTTACGCTGGGGCCATGCTAATCTTCCCTCTCTCTATCTTTCCAATTCTAATGGATGCCTCGAAGGACACATGACTCTTTTTTTTTTTTTTTTATATATTATTATTATTATTATTATTATTATTATTATTATTATTATTATTATTATTTCTTTTAAGTGCTATTTTATGAATTTTCTCTATCGTTCCAATTGTAGTGGATGTCCATAACTCCTTGCAAGGATGATATTCACAGATCAACATACGGTCCAAATTTTCGAAAACCAGAAAGATATTTTCGGGTGGTGCGGGTGTGGAGGTGTGTTATTTAATCCACATAAACCACTGCATGTGGCATCGGGATAATGATCAATTAATTTGAATTATTAAATTGAATTAATCAGTAAAAAAAAACTATTAAAAAGGCTTCAAGGTTCTAAGTGGCGTGGGTGTGGGAGGTGTGTTGTTTATCCTTCTTGTCTTCTCTTTTCCTTGATTTTTTGTAATAAAAGGAAAAGAAAAAACGAAATAATAACAAATAGCGCTGACCTTGGTTCCTAACTAAATAGTACGTACTTATTGCGGCAAAAAAAAAGGAAATCCACGTCCCGAAAAAAGAAGGATAAAAATTATTAAAGAAAACAAAAAAGGTCGTGAGAGGGAAACGATCATGCATGGAAAAAAAGAAAAGAAACAAGGATCGTGCATTCCTTTTCCTAACATGAGGTTGTGACACGTACATGCGGCGGAAAAACGAGCGAATTCAGCCCCAAAAAAATAAAGGGAAGAAAGAAAAAACACAGACAGCAAAGGAAAAGGAATGATACAGGCACAGGGTTCTATATCTGTGTTTTGCCTCTGCTA